TCCCGAAGTGATGAACGTTCCGAAGATCATGAAAACAACCCTTATAACATTCTGTTCAAGCTACCTCAAAATCATGAAGCATCCCGAAGTGATGAACGTCCCAAAGTCCATAAAAACAACCTTTATGGTCATTTGTTCAAGTTACCCGAAAATGGTTATAAGGGTTGTTTTCATGGTATTCAAGAGGTTCATCACTTCGGGACACTTCATGATTTTCGGGTATTTTAAATAGATGACCATAAGGGTTGCTTTCATGGTCTTCGGGACGTTCATCACTTCAAGATACTTCATGATTTTCAGGTAGCAACCCTTATGTCATCCCGAAGCTACCCGAAAACCATGAAGCATCCTGAAGTGAGGAACGTCCCAAAGACCATGAAAGCAATCTTTATGACCATCTGTTCAAGCCACTCGAAAATCATGAAACACCCCGAAGCAATGAACGTCCCAAACACTATGAAAGCAACCCTTATGACCATTTATTCAAGCTACCCGAAAATCATGAAGCAACCCGAAGTGATGAACATGCCGAAGACCATGAAAACAACCCTTATGTCTATTCTAGCTATCCGAAAATCATGAAGCATCCCGAAGTGATGATCATCACGAAGATAATGAACGCAACCCTTATGGTCATCTGTTCAAGCTATCCGAAAAGCATAAAGCATCCCGAAGTGATGAACGTCCCGTAGTCCATGAAAGCAACCTTTATGACCATCTGTTCAAACTACCTGAAAATCATGAAGCATCCCGAAGAGATGAACGTCTCGAAGACCATGAAAGCAACCCTTATGACCATCTGTTTCAGCTACCCGAAAATCATAAAGGAACTCGAAGTCATGAACATCCCGAAGACCATGAAAGCAACCCTTATGAAAATCTGCTCTAGCTACTCGAAAATCATAAAGCAACCCGAAGTGATGAATGACCTGAAGATCATGAAAACAACCCTTATGGTCATCAGTTCAAGCTCCCCGAAAATCATGAAGCATCCCGAAGTGATGAACGTCCTAAAGTCCATGAAAACAACCTTTATAGCCATCTGTTCAAGCTACCCGAAAATCATGAAGCACACCGAAGTGATGAAAGTCCCAAAATCCATGAAAGCAACTCTTATAGATATTTGTTTAAGCCACCCGAAAATCATGAAGCATCCCAAAGTGATGAACGCCCCGAAGACCATGAAAGCAACCCTCATGGCCATCTGTTCAAAATACCCAAAAACCATGAAGCGTCCGAAGTGATGAACGTCTCGAAGACCGTAAAAGCAACCCTTATGACCATTTGTTCAAATATCCGAAAACCATGAAGCATCTCGAAGTGATGAACGTCCCGAAGTCCATGAAAAAAACCCTTATAGCCATCAATTCAAGCTACCCGAAAATCATGAAGCATCCCGAAGTGATGAACGTCCCGAAGTCCATGAAAACAACCTTTATGGTCATCTCTTCAAGGTACTCAAAAATAATGAAGCACTCCGAAGTGATGAACGTCCTGAAGTCCATGAAAGCAACTCTTATGAGCATTTGTTTAAGCCACTTCAAAATCATGAAGCATCCCGAAGTGATATCGCCCCGAAGACCATGAACTTGAAAGCAACCTTTACGACAATCTGTTCAAGCTACTCGAAAATCATGAAGCATCCCGAAGTGATGAACGTCCCGAAGACCATGAAAGCAGCCCTTATGACCATATGTTCAAGCTCGCCGAAAATCATGAAGCATTCTGAAGTGATGAACGCCTCGAAGACAATGAAAACAACCTTTATAACCATCTATTCAAGCGACCCGAAAATCATGAAGCACCCCGAAGTGGGGAACGTTCCGAAGAACATGAAAGCAACCCTTATGACCATCTGTTCAAGCGATCCGAAAATCATGAAGCATCCCGAAGTTATGAACGCCCCGAAGACCGTGAAAGCAACCCTTATGACTATTTGTTTGGGCAAATAACCCACAACTATGATGACAACAACATGGACGATGAGAAATTCAGAACTTTTCAAATGTGTCCTGAAAATTAAGAATAAGAGTGAAGAAAACATGAGCAATGAAAAAGAACTGGGTCACAAGCGGTTATCGGACACCTGAAAATTCGCATATGAAAACTGTGAAGTGAAAAAAATAATGTTGGTTTGTGCATCCTGAAAATAGTTTCCCTATCATAAAATCGATAGGAGGGTTAGTTTGTTCATGGTGAAACCACATAGTAAACTGAGTTTTCAACTTTTCATATCAAACACGATCTTGAAACACATATAAGCTACCCGAAAATCATGAAGTAT